TATATATATATATATATATATATACACACATATATGATAGGTTATTTGCACAGCTATCCAACCTTTCTAGATAATGTGCAAAACTTCATATCAATGTGTATTCCTGGATAATATTAGTTCAAGGCTCTGCTGCCAGATTAAATAACTTTTCAGTTTGATATTACTGCATTTTTCTGGATATAAATATTTAAAGGTTTTAGACCTATTCCAAATAACATACTGAGCTTATTTCCTAAAAACTATACTAAAAATATAGGTTATTTCCTTGGTTGTGGTTACACTAAATCTTCTCAGCTTGGTATTCATGTGCCAGAAATGGGGCCTACCCACTTTTTACAGGAGTAAAATTTTTTAAACACTTAACAATGTATGGTTGAAAATTGTTGAAGCTCTACACATTTCTCTCTTTATATCTTCTATTGACAAGTAATCTCTGTGTGGGCAGGACATTTATTTCCTCAATCTGAATAAAAATACCAGCAGGGGCTAAAAATTGAAAATTAGGATTAAAGTTTAAATTTTTTTAAATTATTTCATCCAAAACAAATGTTAATAAAACTTATATCAAAAGCAAATTTAAAATCTTAACATTTTAAATTTCATTTATAATTTCCTTTTAGAGAAAATTTGTGAGGATACACCACACATAATTTTTCAAAAGTTGATGTCATTATATAACATTTCTCTTTGGAGTAAAGTTACCATATTTGACTTATTCAGAAATTGTTCACAAGTTTTCATTTGGTTGTCCCTCCCACCCTTTTGTTTGTAGTCTTTCCAGCACCATTACCATGTGTATACATTACTTAGAGATTTTAGACTCACTCTATACAACTTTTGTATACCCTGATACAATTTGAGTGCTCTAGACCAACTCTAAGTGATATCTTTGTGCATTTCCCAAGATAAATTACTTGAGTGCTTTAGGCCAACCCTAAATATTTGCTTCAACTGGATATCCATACGTATTTCTAGAAGGATATACTTTATATGTGGGCTCTAGAGCCACTCTAAATAACTTGCTAAGCTTGATATCTATTTGTATCTGTGGATCAAAATAACTTACTTGTGTGACCCCCACAGCCTATCCAAATCATCCAATCAGATTGCTGTTGATGTAAAATCTTGGATTGCAGCCTCTCCAAGCCATCCAATCAGGTTGCTGCTGATGTAATATCTTGAATCACAGTCTCTAAAAACCATCCAATCAGGTTGCTGCTGATGTAATATCTTGGTTCATACAGTCAAACATTTAAAGGGTATCTGAACACCTCCAAAAGTTTTTAAAAACTATTTATCCATATGATCTCCTAGTTTGTAAGGTCAAAGCAACAAGTGTTTGTTGAGTTTGCTACTATTGTAACTCCCTGGCCTATAAGATCAGCAATTTGCAGGCAAGCATAGCCATTTCAAATAGTGTCAAACAGAATTCTTCTGTTATTACTTAACACTACTTCACTCACAGCACACAGCCTTTCTTCCTACACAAAAATGAAGCTGATAAAGATTTATTTACTGGATGTTTTACCTCTATTAATTCCTTCAAATGAGCTTCACTTAACAGTCCTTCCTGCCACCTTGATGCAAGCTTCGATGATTTACTTCCAAGGCCTAGAACAGAAGAAACAATAACTTAGAAATACCTACAATTTGTGAAAATTATTATTAGTCAAAAACACAGTATGAATTTTAAATGCTTGGAAGGACACTCTGTAGTTCATACACACAGTTTTGGGCAATAGAAATGTAAGATATCTTACTGCAGTTACAGCACATCTCTTATGAAAACTACATGTCAAAAACTGCTACTACAAAACACAAGAAACAAACTAGAAAAGTGTTTTCTTTGTCAATTATAAAACTGGGTAATGAATAAATGTAAAGAATTTTATAAACTGCTTGAATAGCACTGATATCAATAAAAACAAATAAATTTATACTGTTACCTGCAACAATTAAACTTCATTTGACATTACTCTGAAGGTGTGATGCTATTTCGGTACAAATAATTGAAAATAAAGGACTTTTCCTTTTCCATACTTAAAACAGTCCCAAAGTTTTCTGTATGTGATGCACAAAAGTTTCTCTGTATATTAAACCTTGAGTAGTAAGTAAAACATGCCATTAGAGGCTTTTTGTTAGTAAATGGCATATATACATCATAAAACAAAAGATATAACATATAGTTATATGTATCTTCTAAATTGTAATAATATATACATGTACAGATTTATTATGGGGTGTATGGTACCCACTCTATTATTGCCAAGCCTTGCATTTACATCACAGGAAGCCTCAGAAGGTATCTGAACTGAAATATGTTAATGAGACCTTATTTTGATTGTTCAATGTATGGGTTTACACTTACTTTGTTTGTTTGTTGTTAATCAGAGCTTCACAAAGGGTTATATGTGCTGTGCTCACCACGGGTATTGAATCCTGGTTTTTAGTGTTATAATACTTCAAACTTACCACTGAGACACTAAGGCTAAACTTACTTTGATACATCCTGAGATGAGCTGCACTGAGACGCAAAATACTAGTCTTATTCAAGCGCCTTGTTGCCATGGAAACCATAGGCACAATGTTTGTCAGCTCGCCAATGTATCCATTCAGTTTCTCACGCCGATGTTTTTCTGCCAAGTTCCGCTGTAAACGAATAGAACTGAAAGGAAAAAAATAAAACCAATTCTAACAACAAACATGCTAAAGGGAAAATAATTATCATGTTTTTATTTATCCTAATAAACTGGGCCAAAATTAACAACACAATGTGAACTTGGAATTATAACACAAAACACCAAACTCTACAGCTAATCCAATAAACTCTATAAACCTACAACTGAAATTTGTTTATCTAACACCAAAATAATTAAATTAAATTAAATTACCTGTCACTGAGTTCTCTTTAGTACTAACATAATTAACTGTAACAAGTACGCACATTATCTACCACTGACGTTTATCTACTACGAACCCAGTTGACTATAACAAGCAACATAAGTTATCTACTACTGAGTATTGTTTAATTAGTCTTACATAATTAACTGTAACAATTAACACAAGTTACTTACCAACCACTGAGTGTTGTTTAATTAGTACTAACATAATTATCTATAACAAGCAACACAAGTTATCTACTAGTAAGTATTGTTTGATTAGTCTTACATAATTAACTGTAACAATTAACACAAGTTACTTACCAATCACTGAGTGTTGTTTAATTAGTACTAACATAATTATCTATAACAAGCAACATAAGTTATCTACTACTGAGTATTGTTTAATTAGTCTTACATAATTAACTGTAACAACTAACACAAGTTACTTACCAACCACTGAGTGTTGTTTAATTAGTACTAACATAAATATCTATAACAAGCAACATAAGTTATCTACTACTGAGTATTGTTTAATTAGTCTTACATAATTAACTGTAACAAGTAAAACAAGTTACCTACCACTGGGTGTTCTTTAATCAGTACTAACATAATTAACTGTAACAATTAACACAAGTTACTTACCAACCACTGAGTGTTGTTTAGTAAATATTAAAATAATTAACTGCAAGAAGTAATACAAGTTAGCTACTACTGAGGTTTGTTAGAGTGATGTGATGATTAATCAAACTATTAAAGAGGCCAGCAGTTGTGGGTGATTGCAACATGTCTCCAACATTAAATCCCAACATAACCAATTTTGACATCAGAAAAATTGCAAAAACCACAGAAAAAAACCCAAAACTGTCCATATCACTGCTTGGGACCAGCAAGAAGGTATCTTTGTACCAAATCCCATGTAAGTTGGTTGACATACACATGAATAGTTCACAAAAACCATAAATTGTGCTTTCCTTGCTGTAAAACTTGAGAAAAAGACAAAAGTTCCAAAATTGTCTATATCTCTGATTAGGACCTGTGACAAAAATTATCCTTGTAGTAAATCCCACATAAATTGGTCAAAATATGGCCAATAAATGGATCAAAACCCCTACAATTATGCTTTTTGTGACCTTTTGACCCCTAAAATGACCAAAAATGAACATATTCCAAAAAGTATACTTGATTGTGATTTGTTTTAGCCCTGACTCCCCTAAAAATACTCAAAATGGATAAATTCAATTTTGGTGTTAAGCAGAAGAAAATTTATATTTTTGCCAATTTTCATCTTGATTGCTGTAAATATGACCACACAGGAGCCCAAAATATACATATTTGGGTTGTTTAACCTTTGACCCCATTAAATCCACAAAATGGTTTAAGTTCAAATATGAAAAAGGGTTCTGGGCATATTAGACCAAGGTATAACTCTACCAAGTTTAAAGTAAATCCACCAAGAAATGAAGGAATGGTGGTTGATTGAAAAGTGTTTGGAAAAAGAAAAAAATAGAAAAACAGGTATGTCTGTCTGCGAGGACATAAATATAAGATTGGTCGTTGTCATACGACGAATGGTTCGATTATGATTTTAATAACCAATTATAACTTATTACAATATTATTTTTCGGGGCTACGTTGTTTGTATAATTCTGTGATATCCTTGTTTCTCAACCTCGTCACGAAGAAAACTTAGAAAAAAGTACGTTTATATACTAAATCCACGGGTGTTTTCATTGGTTAACAATTACTAAACCCAGTCAAGCTTAACTTTTGTAAGATAGTTACACGCATGAAGCAATTCTGGAAAATAAGTCTGTCTGAAATGAAACTAAGACGAGCTTATCGGTTGAAAATCTTGATGTACAAAATAAAAACCAACGATTTTAATAAGATATCTGTGCACAATATTTAAGCCATAAATGTTTTGCGTCTTTCATGCTACAAATTTATACTGAAAAGTAAAATATAGAACATTTCTTAACAAATACAACCAACTTGCCATGTATTTTTACAGAAAAATACAGAATATGCCACTAAGTGCTTCAATCGACTATTAATAAGAATCCTTACGTATCGCCAAAACTTAACTTACATAACTCGGCTATTGCCAAACTTCATATGTATTTCATTCGATTATCACCAGATATTTTGTGCTTCACTCCACTATCACTAGAACTTTTTATTTCACTGAGCCATAACCAGCATCTAATTAAATTCATAAATACCCACAAAAAAGCTGCAAACTGCAACACCGTCAGGTGATCAAAAAACTTTTCAATTCATAAGACGACCCAGGTTTTCGACCCGATTTTAAATATCATTAGAGAGGATAGAAGTAGTGTACAGCAAATGTAATGAAATACGTATATGTATTACCTTAACTTTGTACAGCAAAACCTTGTCGAAATGTTGTACATTTGCTGTTATGTTAAACTTATATTAAAGTTTTTCTTCAGTACCTATTCAAGCCGTCTCCAACCATTAAAACGTAAAGCTGTTCGGTTGGGAATATGAGTGTGTGACTGTATAATAAGACTTTTTATTTTAATGTTGCAAAAAATAGGGTGTAGATTCGATTTCATTAAATGCACATACAGCATGAAGCGGTATCTGATGGCTTGAAACAGCATCGTCAAACTACATAGTAATCTGAACACAAGGTTAACAAGAGTTCGTGGGTATGTTAACATCACGGTTAGGGTAGGGTAACTTTTATGTTTAAAAATACCTACTTGTTTCCTAACATAAATGTTTCAGGATTAACTATTAAAAGACTATAATATATGCAAGCTATATTTTTAAACTCTTATGTCTCAGTCAAAAAACTCACTTTTACACTATCGTTGTCCCCTTCTCTCGATTAGTGGTTCTCAATCTGTGATCCAGGGGCTACCTTCAGGTGATTCAGAAAAGGAAGAGGCAGCGTAGAGTATATATGTGAAATTATAGTGCGTGAGATGAAAAAAAAATCACGTGGTCATTGGATACAAAAGTTTGAGAACCACCGCTCTAGATGATCCTTACCGAGTAATTTATAAAATTTAAGACTAACTGTTATTAAAATTGGGTCAAATCCCCTACTGGTACACCATCGATCTTCTTCCCTGCTCTACATATTCGTAACTGATTATTTTATAATAATTAAAACTAAATGTCATTACGGTTGAATCAAACCACTTCCGGGTATACTATTGTTGTCAATTGCTCTAAATGTTTGTAACTGAGTATGTCAAATTGGTCAAGACTAATTATTACGATTGAATCAAACCACTTACTGTACATTACTGGTGTTCATTACTGAGTATTTCATAATAGTGAAGACTAACTGTTATTAAAACTGACCCAAATTACTTGATGGTACACATCGTTGTTCGTTACTACTTCGTAATAGTTAAGATTGTTACTACGATTGAAGCAAACCACTTATTCTTACACTATCGCTGCACTAGATGTTTCTGTTACGCCTCCAGTCGTTAGTTAATTTTCTGTAAATTCGTTCCGACGAAACTTTAGCAACACAAGTCCTTTCTTAAATAAAACTGGTTTATTCTTTCCGAATACAACTTTACGATACACTT